GACTTGTAGAAAATCAGAAACTGACATCAACTTGAAAGACGAAGAATCATTTTTCCTAAAATTTTCCCTTTAAGAGGGTTCGCTGTTCGAGTCAGTGCCTTGACATTTTTTTGGTCCTATGTCAAATTTGGCCAACTTCTTGAACTTTCATATAATTCTTTATGACATCTAGCCAATTGTTCATGGTGTTTCCCTTCTTTTTCCCATGTCAATAACAGTGCTTGGACTACATCTGCAACGCACTCGTTGGGTCTTCTTTTCATGTGGCCAAAACAACAGAACATGCTTTCGAAAAGAATTTCTGAAATCGGTGCTGCGCCTATGGTGCTTCTTACAAAGGAGATGTGGATATGGTTTTGATATATCCATCTGATAATTCGCATTTCTACAGAATTCAGCTGTTACTCGTGTTCCTTCGGGGTAGCCAAACATTTCTCTTCATACTGAAGCACCGATCATATTACTCTTCAATACAACTTCCCCTTAAATTTGATGGACATTTTATCACACAGTAACTTAGGCACCTCCATTCATTTCATTCACGCTTTTTCGATCGATTTCTTAATTTAATGTTGATTTTCCTATTGTCTTGAAGGACGGGATCAAAATAACTGAAATCTGGATTTGAGGCAGCATGCTCCGAGCCACCAGCGCAAAATAATTATATGGTAAGTCAAGATTTAAAAGCATTAATGCTTATACATCTCGAAATAAATGACCACGTTTTGAAAAGAGGCCACAGATACGTATCGTAATGGCACCTGTAGTGCTTTTATGCAATACGACAACGCCGCGCTATGCTGAAAAACGACATGATTGAAACAGATATAAATTCTGCTTTTATAAATAAAACTGTTCATGATATTCCTGCTAACAAACGTAAGCTTCTCATAAAGCAGACTAAAGCAACACATAGGCGTCACACTTCCACGTGTAGCAGTAAAACTTACTTTAGAAAAGAATTCCAAAGCGAACAGGACGTAAAGCTTCATCAAGGCGAACATTACGGGGACGACGGCCTCTGGATTCGCTTCGGCGGCCATGTCGTAGAAGCGTTTGGCCAGGTGGAGATCCTTTTTGATTCCGAGTCCGTTTTCGTGCATGTACGCCAGGTTAAACATCGCCTGGGCATTGCGCAGCTGTTCTGACGCGGTCTTGTAGTTGTTGGCCGCTTCTTCATAGTCCTGCTTTGTGCCCAGCCCGTAGTAGTAGTAGTCGCCTACTTTAACGCGCGACACTCCAAAGCCCTGACTCGCCGACCTCTGCCACAATAACAGAGCGCGTTTGTAAATTTCAGGCTTATCGAACAGCTTCACCGAGTCTGAAACGAAAGCGACGGTAGATTGAGGGAAACTTGAGAAATTTACGACAACTGAAAGCTAAGGGCGCAGACTAGACTAAATCACTGATAATCACGGATACTCCATCGGATCAATGTCGAAGCTGTTGTTTTGCACCAAACATTCACCTGTGACAAAAAGTGAGGTGGTTCAATGATTTAAACAGTGGCAGCTATAGCGCACTGACTTCCAGATGAACTTTAGAATTTACGGTCAATCTGAGGTTTATGATGATATTGAAGTAGATTCCATTCATCACCCCAAGGATACAAACAAACCATGAACTTAAACAAAATATACACGAACTTTCGTGAAGAAGAAACGCCGTGTTGAACTGTGCCACTTCGTAGCCGAGCTCAGCGAGAAACAAGTACTTCAGCACTGCCTGATCGATAAAACCAGCCTGAAACGAGTTGTACGCTTCCATAAGCATCGCCGCCCACTTTCCTCTTTCTGCCACATTTTTGTACAACTAAAAATATGAAGTTCCAAATGTCTAACAAATAACCCTAGCTATTCGCCGGAAATGGAAGATCTTAACCGAACACACATACTTCAACAGCAGTCAAGCAATTTCTGATCACTCCGGTTCCCGTTGCATGCATTTGCGCCAAATTGTAGAATCCCATGATATGGCCGGACTGACTGGCTAGCTGAAAGTATTTCATTGCCACCTGGTAGTCCCTAGGTACACCGAGACCATCTAAAAACAAAGATATATATTGTATGAACTTTCGGAAAAAAATCTGTCAAGTGAAAAAAAAATACTCGCTTCAACGCGTCTTTTGTAAAACTTACAAAAGGGAAGAAAATAAAAGCAACGATGGTTCGTAACGATCATTTTAGTTGCCATCAACCATCAGCTAAGCAATGAAACTAGCCCTGGAAAGATTTCATGAATTTCAGGGAAGTTAAAGTAATAGATCAGCTGAAAGGTTTTGACAAATGTTAACTCATGAAGTTTTATGATCGAATTAAAGCAGTATTCCTTTCACACATATTTGCTTCAAAGAATTATTTTCAGAATTGAGCCTGCCAAATGGTTCTAATGATGGAAAATTTTTGGAATTCGGCCCGTTTCGACCACTGCGAGTCAAAATCCCTTCATCAGTCTCATACAATAACTCTGTTGTATATCTCAGGCATTATCACTAAGAATTTGTAGTTCTTGGTCAAACATTTATTTAAATTCATTCCATGCAACTGTATCAAGGGTTACAGAGCTGCAGTGCTCATCTTAAAGCCTGTTCCTTCTACAGTCCATTCACGTTAATCTTTTCATCTTTTGAGTTAAACAGCTCCTGATGTTTTTTTTCATTGCTGTAAAGACACCGATCTCCACAAGAAGGGCTATATGTTTACTCTCCAAATCTTTTAAACCTGCATTCTGAAGTCTTCATACTTCAATGTCTTCATAGACTGCCCTGCCCTTCTTTTCATCTCGGAGCCGGTGGACGATCTGCCAGAAAACCTTGCTTGCCATGTGAAAATTAACTCCAACACCTTACCGCTTCTGTCCCAAGTTCTTCGTATGCTGCTCCACTTCTCACAGCGGACGTTCCAACAATATAATGATGATCGGTTGGCAGCTCTGCTCTATGTCATAAATCATACGATATGATTATCAAATTGATAATCAACAAAAGCTTCCCTATCCAAGGTACACAGATACACGCTTCGATGCTCGAACAACCGTTTGCATATTCTGTAAAAACTTCACGCCGTTATTGTTGAGGTCCATCTTGTGCTTCCTCATGAGGCTTTTTCACTTTTCAGAGTCCGTTCGGACGTTCACATTAAAATTTCCAATTCAAACGATGGACTCCGTAGTAGGCACTTCCAACAGAGTGCATCCACTTTTCAAGAAAGGACCGATATTTTCCCTCCAAAATGGGCGCATAGACCTGAAGGAACGTCAGTACTTTAGCCTGCAGTGGCTTCAGTCAGAAGATTACCTCTAATCCGATGTCAGGTTTCCATCCAATTAGTATATGAGCAAGGTTGGGCTCTATCAGAACACCAACCCCCGCCTGAGCGTGCGTCGTGATGTGGATACCTGAGAAAAACAGCCTCCAACCGTAACTGCTCAGGATTCGAGAGCCTTGGCGCACATGACCAGTTGTCGAGAGTCCACCTATGTAAAGTTTCTTACTTTGCGGTCACATCAACTAGCTCTTACTCTTTCTCTCTGAGTGAGAATGTATTCCAATGTATCGGGGCATTATTTCATGTACTGTAATAGACATGGATAAATGCTAAACATCTTTTACAGAGTATCTAGTGATGAATGTTGTTCAGGCTGCACGTAGAACCAGACAAGTTTTCGATGAAAGGCGAATGCATCCAACAGCATGACATTACAAAAAGAGACTATACCCCCTCTCATTCATGAACATGCTATCTGCGCTGAAGCACAATAATGGTAATTCAATGCTCAAGGACACTGACGGTAAATAACAAATTTCTCTGCCGCGGTACCTCCACGGTACAAGGCAAACTCTTGTCCACTGCGCCACTGCTCCCTAGATTAACAAAAAATCAATGCTTACAGTAGAAAATGTGACCCAAGTTCAACTGCGC